CATTTATTGGGACCGGCACGGTGACGCAAGTGGTTAAGGTCCTCCCTTTGCACGCCTGGGATCCCATATAGGCGCCGGTTCTAGTCCCGGCAGCCCCGCTTCCCTTCCAGCTCCCTGCTTGTGGCCCAGGAAGGCCGTCGAGGACGGCCCAAAGCTTTGGGACCCTGCACCCGCGTGGGAGACCCGAAAGAGGCTCCTGGCTTCGGACCGGCATAGCATCGGCCCGTTGCGCTCACTGGGGGAGTGAATCATCGGACGGAAGATCTTCCTCTCTGTCTCTCCTCTCTGTATATCTGACTTTCCAATAAATAAATGAAATCTTTTTTTATTTTTTTTTAAAAGATTTATTTTTATTTTATTATTTTTATTGGAAAGGCGGATATACAGAGAGGAGGAGAGACAGAGAGGAAGATCTTCCGTCCGATGATTCACTCCCCCAATGAGCGCAACGGCCGATGCTATGCCGGTCCGAAGCCAGGATCCAGGTACTTCTGAGCATCCCACGCAAGTGCAGGGTCCCAAAGCTTTGGGCCGTCCTCGACTGCTTTCCCAGGCCACAAGCAGGGAGCTGGGTGGGACGTGGAGCAGCTAGGGACCCCAGTGCTTGTAAGGCAAGGATTCAGCCACTGAGCCATTGTGTCGGGCCCATGCTTTTATTCATAATTAAGATCTGATATGGGCGTGTAGGCTAAACTTCCGTCTGCAGTGCTAGCTCAGTTCCAGCCACTGCAGCTATTTGGACAGTGAACCAGTGAATGGAAGATCTCCCTCTTCTCTATCTCTCCCCTCTCTGTATAACTCTTCTCAATAAACTCTTTTTAAATGAACTTTTAAAGATTCATTTTTATTGGAAAGGCAGATTCACAGAGAGGAGAGACAAAGATCTTCCATCCACTGGGTCACTCTCCAAGTGGCTGCAACAGTCGGGGCTGAGCTGATTCAAAGCCAGGGGCCAGGAAATTCTCCCGGATCTTCCATGTGGGTGCAGGGTCCCAAGGCCTTGGGCCGTCCTCGACTGCTTTCACAGGACACAAGCAGGGAGCTGGATGGGAAGTGGAGCAGCTGGGACACGAACTGGCACCAGCGCGGAATCTTGGTGCATGTAAGGTGAAGATTTAGCCACTGAGCCATTGTGCCAGGCCCCAATAAACCTTTTTTTTTTTTTTTAAGTGCCAAAAGCACATAAATTTGAATCCTGTTTCCCAAGAACTTATTGAAATTTCTTCATAGATAGGAGAGTAATGACAAGCATGACCAGCTGGCCGGCTTCTGGGGGACCAGGGAGGGACAGAGGTGGGGAGAGGGCTGGATTGTCCGTCGGGTCAAAGGCAGCTCCAGTTTTAGCCCAGCTTCTGGAGCTCCTCCAGGTTCCCCCCATTCATTTCTGGAAGCTCTCCCTTCCTCTCTAAACTATTCCTCCTGTGGCAACTCTGCCTATATCCTGTTCTCTGAGTCATGGTGCATCTCCACACTCACAACATGCAGGGGGATTTGGAAAAGTCTGCGGTAGATGGAATTAAGAGGTGAGTTTAGGGTCCCAGCGCAGTAGCCTACTGACTGAAGGCCTCACCTTGTGCATGGCATGCCGGGATCCCATATTGATGCCGGTTCTGATCCCTGCAGTCCCGCCTCCCATCCCACTTCAGGCTTGTGGCCTGGGAGACCTGGAAGAGGCTTCAAGCACCTGGCTACAGATCAGTGCAGTTGCAGCTATTGTGGCTGCTTGGGGAGTGAATCAACAGATGGAAGAGCTTCCTCTCTGTCTCTCCTCTTCTCTGTATATCTGACTTTCCAATAAAAAATAAAATAATCCTTAAAATAAAAGGTGAGCTTGGATGCATAAGCAAAACAAAACATAAAACCAACCAACGGCCAAGTGCAATAGCCTAGTGGCTAAAGCCCCTGCCTCAGATGCTCTGGAATCCCATATGGGCACCGGTTCTAATCCAGACTGCTCCACTTCCCATTCAGATCCCTGCTTGTGGCCTGGGAAGGCAATCGAGGACAGCCCAAAGCCTTGGGACCCTGCACCCTCATGGGAGACCGGAAGAAGCTCCTGGCTTTGGGTTGCCTCAGCTCTGGCCATTGTGGTCGCTTGGGGAGTGAACCAGCTGACAGAAAATCTTTCTGTATCTCCTCTCTGTAACTCTACCTTTCTGATAAAAATAAATAAATCTTTAAAAAAAAAAACCCAACCAAACAAAAGCACATCTATGAAATTCATACATATACATATTATGCAAAACCTATGCGTGGATTTCAAATTTGCTTTTACACCAAAACAAGCTTATCTTTCAATTCCACTTTCTATGAATATTTTTATTTTTAAACTGGGTTTTTTTTTTTTTTTTTTTTTATTAAGACAGAGTCCTCTGACTTTTAAAATACTTGGGTAGCCAGATGTACAGACAATCTACAATAAGCTCTTTGGAACAACGCTTCCCTTTTGCTGGAAGGTGTTTGAATATTTTCATGATTTTTTTTCTTTTCTCTTCCCAGCGACCTGAATTCCCGGTCCCGGGAACCAGCTACTATCTCCCGCAGGGTCGCCTGGAGGAGCCGGAGAGGCGAGCCAGGGAGCAGGACGCACACCTCGCCGGCAAGTATACCTTCCCGCAGGTTCAGCCGCTGATCCTCACAGTGGGGTCCCTCCCCCCACTCCCCACCTTCTCTTGCTGTGGCTTTTGCCTTTCCCCATCCCATCTTCCTGATTTGGAAGTCGCATCTCAAGCATAGTCACCATCTTCTTCGGACGCGCCATTGCTTGGCGAGAAAGGCAACACCTCGTGGGTGGTCCAGCACGGATGCAGAGTGGCGCTGCATGGAAAAACAAGTGGGTTCACTCTGTCATCTCATATGGATGCTGGTTCGAGTCTCTGGTGTTCCACTTTCAAATCCAGCCCCCTGCTGCTGACCTAGAACAGTGGAGGATGGCTCAAGTGCCAGCTAGGGCCTCTGGACCAATGTGGGAAACCCCAAAGAAGCTCCTGGCTTCTAACTGGCCCAGTTTTGAGGAATGAACCAGAGGATGGCAGATCTCTTTCTCTTTCCTCTCTTTCTCTTTCAATTAAAAGAAATAAAACAAAAACAAATTTAATCAGCTCCTTTCAAGCTCGTAGGTGGGTGGGTGGCAACGGAGTGCCCAAGCACTTGGGCCATCCTTCGCTCTTCTTCCAGGTACATTAGCAGGGAGCTAGATTGGAGGTGGAGCAGCCAGGACTTGAATCATGCTTGTGGTAGCTGTCCGTAGGTCCCCCTACTGACACACATACTATTACTGATAGAAAAACACTGAATTATCTTCTTCCTCCTCTTTCTTTGTGAAGATCTGTTTCTTTGAAACAGGGTTGCAGAGACAGAAAGAAAGGGAGAGAAAGGGATCTTCCATTATTGGTTCACTCCCTGACTGGCTGTAATGGCCGGGTTTGAGCCAGACCAAAGCCAGCATCCTGGGACTCCATTCAGGTCTCCTACTGGGTACAGGGGCCCAAGCACGTGGGCCATCTTCTGCTGCCTTCCCAGGTGCATTAGCAGGGAGCTGGATTATAAGTGGAGCAGCTGGGGCTTGAACTGGAGCCCCTGTGGGATGCCTATACAGCAGGTGGCTTCTTAACCTGGTCTACTACAGTCCAGTCTCTGAAATTCACCTACAGACAAGAAACGGCTTCATGTTTAATTGCAGGGCAATGGAAGAAGAGGGGGACAGGTTATTTCAGGGCTCAAATCAGTGTCCTTGTCTAGAAAGGTTTTGGGGAGTTAATGGAGGGTGAGTAACTAAGGCATAACTAGGCAAAACAAAGTGACAAATCATGGCAGGTGCAAGGGAAAAGAGGGGAAAGGTCCTTGGAGTGTGTACCTGGACACGTCCCTTTGCACATTATGATGCCTGCTGAAGTGTCATGGGAGGTGTCACTTATTGTGACCACATACCTTAAGAGAACTTTTTTTTTGAAGATTTATTTATTTTTATTACAAAGTCAGATATACAGAGAGGAGGAGAGACAGAGAGGAAGATCTTCTGTCCGATGATTCACTCCCCAGGTGAGCGCAATGGCCGATGCTGTGCCCATCCGAAGCCAGGAACCAGGAACCTCTTCCGGGTCTCCCACGCGGGTGCAGGGTCCCAAAGCTTTGGGCCATCCTCGACTGCTTTCCCAGGCCACAGGCAGGGAGCTGGATGGGAAGTGGAGCTGCTGGGATTAGAACTGGCGCCCATATGGGATCCCGGTGCATTCAGGGTGAGGACTTGAGCTGCTAGGCCATGCCTCCGGGCCCATGAGAGAACTCTTAAGTTTAGCTATGCCACTGCTAAGAGTCATGTCTGCCCAGGCTCCATGAGAAGATTGTCTACTTCCAGGTCCATCAGTTCAATCCAGTTTTATCAAGGACACTAGAAAGACAACTAGCAAAGGGTTTTTTTCTTTATTATTGGAGACAATTATTATGCTACTATGTGATTGAAGTTCCCGTGCAACAGACACGGGCAGGACTGTTTTGGGCAGCTTGGGGAAGTTTGTTGTGAGGCAAGGGGAGAGGAGTCCTTTGCTGCCCATGGTTTTACTGTTACTGAAAATGTTTATACAAGGACCATGAGCAAAAGATGCTCCTTTTATAGGAAGTTCCAGGAAGATACAATCCAAGTTACTAACTTGCCTCTGTAGCAATAATGGGGACGAGCTAGTGGTACTGAGGTACAGTGGGTCAAGCCCCTGCCTGGGACACCCTCCCATTTCAGCAGCGCTTGGGATTGAATCTTGCTTTTTGCTTCCCATCTGTTAGTTTTTCTGTGCACCTGCAGCCAAGTGCCTTCTTCATGATAGGGTAATTGCAAGCCAAAATGCCAGGCACAGCAAGGTGCTGAGGAGGTCCTTTATTCCAGCAGGGTAGGAATGGAATTGGGGGTGGAGAGGGAGAGAACAAGAAGGGAGAGATCTCCTGCTGTGGTGGCAGGATGGGGGTGGGGGGTTGGGGGGGGATGCCAGGGCAGGGGAAGGGGCAAGATGGAGGAGGACTGGGGAGAGCCAGGTGAGTGAGGAAGGCGTGGGTGTGGGGAGTTGGATGGGAGGAGCTGCAGGTGGGCCCCAGGGACTGGAGACTGAGATAACCACAGGTGACTGGCACAGATGATTGGCAAGCGGGCAGGGATGGGGAGGAGGGCTACAAGAGACTTGGGGGTGGGGTTCTCAGGTGAAACCATGAGGCTATATCTCATGGGTAGACAACTGGAATGGCGCGGATTTTGTGAGCCAAGGGAAATCGGGGAAGCAGATACAAAATGGCTGAGGCCCTCAAGGCCTATGTTTGTGTCACTTCTCACACCATCCAGCTGCTTGCTAATGCACCTGGGAGCAGAAGTTGGCCCCTGTTTGAGTTCCTACATGTGGGGAGATACTGGGCTTCTAGCTCTAGCCTCACCCAGCCCAGGCTCTTCAAGGGATTTCAAGAGTGAGCTGGCAAATGGGAAGCCTCTCTCTCTCCTTTTCTGTCGATCTTTTTTTTTTTTTTTTAAGATTTATTTATTTTTATTGGAGAGGCACATTTACAAAGGAAGGAGATACAGAAAGATCTTCCATCTGTTGTCACTCCCCAAATGGCCACAATGGCCAGAGCTGAGCAGCCAGGAGCCTCTTCCGGGTCTACAATGCAGCTGCAGGGTCTTAAGGCTTTGGGTTGCTCTGGACTGCTTTCCTAAGCCACAAGCAGGGAGATGGATGGGAAGGGGGCCATCGGGATTAGAACTGGTAACTATATGGGATCCTGGTGCGTGCAAGGTGAGGACTTTAGCCATTAGGCTATCACACTGGACCCTCTGTCAATCTTTCAAGTAAGGAATTACTTGTTAAGATAATATCAAATAATACCTTGGTATATTAGTCAACTCAAGCTGCCTTAACAAAATACATTGTAGGTTAAACCACAGAAATGTGTTTTCCTCACAGTCCTGGAGGCTAAAATCCAAGGCCAAGGTGTTGAGGAATTTACTCTCCCCCCTGATCTCTCTGATTGACTTGTAACATGGTTATGTTCTCGCCATGTCCTACAAAAGGTAGAAACACTCTTTAACTGTCTCATCAACAGATGATGGATCAACAGCATGAACTCTTATGCCTGTGGGGAACTAGCATTCAGTCACAGAAAGGAATCACATTGTGGAATACGCGACAACAAGGAAGAAGCTAAGCACGCTGTGCCCAGTGCAACAAATCAGGTGCAAAAGGACCGATCTTGTGCAGTTCCACTCACAGGGCACACCCAGCAGAGCACAGTTTGCAGGGACCGAAAGCTGTACAGCCAAAGCACCCGGAAGATGGAGGGAGACATTTCTCACTGTCCATGTGGACAAGCCTGGCTTTAACAGGTCATCTGCAGAGGATTCCTTCACACGCATTCTGTTGCAAAGCAGACTTTTTCTTTTTTTTTTTCCTTCTTTGGGGTTGTTGGAGGTACTGACAACACCAGGGAATGGTTTTCACTCCCTGGTGAGCTGCTCCAGTTCCGGTATACTTTAGAAGCCCTGAGGAAGGGATTGGTGGGCCTTCTCCTGCCTTATCTGTTTGCAGCTGATAACAAGCCAGAGCTTCTCCCTACCCCCAAGGGGAACTCACCTTCCATTGGCTTCCAGGCAACCCCTGCAAGCAGCAAGTTGGGAGACTGGCAGAAGGCAACAAACAGCAGCAGCGCATCTGCAGTGAAACGCAACAAACTCTGTGTCAATGAGCCAAACCCCGACCCGCCAAGCCCCCAGTGGAGAGCAAGTGACAGGGCGTGAAAAATAGGTTATTGGTGGTGTTATCATCCTGCCCCTCCTCCGGCTGACTTCAGATCTTAAACAAACAGCCAGAGACACTGAGCATGGGGGTGGGGAAGAAGAGCGGAGGGGGGGCTGGCGCTTGCCTCTTGTGACACCGCTTTTCCCTTCTCCCAGAGTTTCCATTGAGAAGGTGCGTGTTTTTTCAGCAGCTCCACGTGTAGGATAAATCAAACGATATCTAGGATTGGCTTTTAAGCCTCCAAGAGAAAGGAGTGGGAGGTGGACATAACTGAAGTTAGACTGACAGAGGCTGATTGGTTCCTTTTGAGGCTTGAGACTCTTCTTCCAGCTTTTAAGCAGGTAAGGAAATGTCTATTTGCGTACAATTTTAAAACACCAACAATGGGAGAAGAGGATTGGACATTCGATACTACTTTGAAAACTTTAATATTACCAGAAGCTTTGGTCTTAGTGTCCTAGAATGCATCCAGTTTTTCTTTTTAAGCAGGATTGAGGTCTTTTTTTTTTTTTTAAGTTTTATTTATTTTTATTTGAAAGGAAGAGTTACAGAGAAAAGGAGAGACAAAGATCTTCCATGCATTGTTTCATTCCTCAAGTGGTTACAACTGCCAGAGCTGAGCTGACCCGAAGCCAGGAGTCAGGAGCCACTTCTGGGTCTCCCACATGGGTGGCCTGTCCTCAACTGCTTTTCCAGGCCACAAGCAAGGAGCTGGACGGGAAGTAGAGCAGCCGGGATACGAATCGGCGCCCAGGAAATCCCAGAGCATGCAAGGGAAGGACTTAAGGCACTAGGTTACCGTGCTGGGCCCCAAACCTTGAGTTTAAAAGCACATTTCTCATGACTCCTCCTAAAAATATTTGATGAAGCTCTGAGATGTGACCCTTCTGGGTGTCTGAGTCTGCTGGTCCCAATCCTGGCCTGACAGCTCACACCGAATCTACCATCAGGTCTCTTCCTTGGCACGGAGCTGGATGGGATTGGAGCAGCCAGGACATGAGCCACCTACCCATACCAGTGTCGCAGGCTGCAGCTTCACCTGCCACTGTGCACTCACCAAAACCCCTGAATGAAATCTCACATTGAAAGGTCAAAGAAATGAAATCGAGGTCTGACGTGATAGCCTAGTGGCTCAAGTCCTTGACTTGCATTTGCTGAGATCCCATATGGGGTTCCACTTCCCATCCAGCTCCCTGTTTGTGGCCTGGAAAGGCAGTGCAGGATGGCCTGAAGCCTTGGGACCCTGCACCTATGCGAGTGACCTGGCAGAAGCTCCTGGCTCCTGGCTTTGGATCGGCTCAGCTCCGACCATTGAGGCCCAGGTGGCCAACGGAGTGAACCAACGGACAGATCTTCCTTTCTGTCTCTCCTCCTCTGTATTGCTGCCTTTCAAATAAAAAGAAATAAGAACCATGAAATCAGTACCAAAGAGAAAGTTCGGCAGACTTAGAAATGAACTTTCACGCTAACATCACAGGATGCCATTTGCAGCATTGAGTGTGGAAGCGTACCCTCCAGTGCAGGGAGCAGAGCCGGGGAGACAGTGAGACCTTGGGGAGCGCCAGACGAAAACTCCGATCCCTCCGCTCCTGGATTCAGCACCTGCTGCCCACACAGCTACACGAGGCTCTGGCTGCGCTTCTCCCCATAGGAATTGTGGCACTCCTATTTTCCTTTTAGTCTCAGAGTCCCACTAACTGTGAATGTCTACCCCAGGGGAGGCTGCATTAGACGTGCACAGAGCCAGGTCCCATCTACGGCTGCAAGGTTGCATCTCCCGCTAACACCTCCTCTTGCTGGGGACCCCAGGTTGCTGCTTGTGTCACACCCTAGCTAGCAAGATACAACGCCCCAGGCTTCTGCTCCCCGTGACCGCCTAGCCCTGGGAGTAGGCAACAGCGTGATCTTCATTCGCCTCTGAATGTTTTGTTCAATGTAGGGTTTTGTTTCTTTTCAGTGAGAGAATGGCTTGCATTTTTGGTCACTAGTCAGAGCAGGGTTGGGCCACCCCTGCCGCTGTCAACTCCAGGAACGGACCCAGGATGCGGGGAGGAGATGAAATGGCAGGGGAGGGAGGGACTCAGCCGGAGTCTCCGCCTCCCAGTAACGGGACAGTCTCCTCCCTGGATCCTGACTGTCACAGCAGGAGCGCTGCACAGCAGAACCCAGCAGGTGGAGGCAGGCCACGCGCGTGCAGTGTCATCCCCCACGTTGTGTCCCGAATGAGGGGATTCCACGGTCTGCAGTGAGCACACCTGGGGATACCGAGACCGTGCAGATTCCTTGCAAGCGGATCGTCAAGTGACCGGGAATAGACTCCGTGAACCGCCAGGTGTGCCGTGGGAATGAGGGGACGACTGCGGGTCAGGTAAGGCGGGGTGTCTTCCAGGTGTGAGCTCCGGGGAACGGAGGGTTAAAACCGTAAAGAGCAAAGAGGGCGCACCCGCTCCCGTTCAAGAAGCAAGTGTGGAATCTAAGCTGCCACCACATTAATCAAAATACACATAAAGCGATAATAAAGCATCCATTTAATTGCTGTTGTGTGGAATCATGCCTTTATATACTTAGGGTGGCATATTTCTACATTCATAAATTTCTGCCTTTCCTAGTTATGTTTGTTCAGTTGTATCTAATTAGAAGTGAGAGTTAGACCAGAGAGAATTTCCCTTCCTTTGCTCAGCAGAAGTGGAGAGGCCAGGACTCAAACCCTCACTCACAGGTATGGCGCCAGGAGGCGGTTTAAACCGGCGTGCTACAAAGCCAGTCCCGTACTAGTTCTATTTTCCTTTGATTATTCCAGGCTTCTCTTGGTGATTGGTTTGACATCCCAGCTCATTCTCCCGGGCAAAAGTAAGGAACCTTTGATTCCTACTCTCAGGTTTGCCTGCCTGCCAGTTTCCCCCAATCGTTACCAGTCTCGTGTGTTCTATGTCTTGGAAAGGCTACCAAAGAGAGAGGCACGAAGAGGCGGTCAACAGCAGCGCCGCCCCGGCGCCAGAGCTTGCCCGGCGCAATTGGACGGGGGGCGCAGCAGGCGAACTGAGTACGCGCGTGTGGGGTTGGAAGCTGGAGGACCCCGGCCCGTACTCTGGGGCGTTGGCGGAGCGTAAGTCTCTGAGAGGGCCCCCAAGACTTCTGGGGATGCCCCGCCCCTCGCCCCGGCCTCGAAGTGTAGGATGTGTGTGTGTGTGTATGGGGAAACCGGAGAGGGGGAGATTATATCGAGCGGCAGACGTTGGACCCCATGGAGAGGGTGTGTCACCTCTGGATCAAGGCGCACCGCGGCGTAATAAACACTTCACGGCGAGGTGTTTACTCTGGCTCCTTTCTAGAGCGGCTCCAGCCGCGGAGACGTCCAGGTGTTCCCAACAAATGTCCCGGCGCAGATAACGCGCGACGCCGGCTCCTCCGGGCTGCGGCTCCGGGCGGTCGCCGGGAACGCACGTTAAGGCGCCGTCTCTCCTGTGGGTGGTCCCTCCTGGGAGTCCTGTTTTTCATCACTGTCAGGGGAGTCCTCCGGCTGGCCTTTTAGCATGTGAAAGGAAGGAAGGAATACACGGAGGGCAGGACTGACCACCCTGCACCCCTGGGTGTTTGCTTTTCGCTCCTCCACGAACCTGCGGGGCCTTGCCTGAGCAAACACGCTCTGCAGGCCGCTGATTGGAGTCTGTCCTCCACCCCCTCCCTCTGGAATCCCCGAGGGAGGGCGCGGGGTGCTGGGCGTGCGGCTGCCGCCTTTGACCCTTCCCTTGCGTTCTCCCGCAGGTGCGCCCCCTCGGCTGCGCTGCTGTCAAAACGGCGGCACCTGCGTGCTGGGCAGCTTCTGCGTCTGTCCGGCGCATTTCACCGGCCGTCACTGCGAGCATGACCAGAGACACAGGTGGGCTCGGGGAGGCGCTGGACTGGGGGCGCAAGAGTCGGGGTGGGGAGGGAGCAGGGGAGGCGGCGGGTGCGGAGCGCGGGCAGCGCTGGGATGAGCGCCAGATCCAGCGGTGGATGCACGCAGTGAGGATCCTCCCCAGCACTGACTTGGGTCTCCTTCTCCGGCAGTGATTGCGGTTCCCTGGAGCACGGCGCTTGGACCCTCCGCGGTTGCCGCCTCTGCAGGTGCTTGTTCGGGTCCCTGCACTGTCTTCGCCGCCAGACGCCGGGCCGCTGTGGTAAGAGACCGTTCTTTCCCTGTGCGGAGGGGTGATGTGGGGGGAGGCTCCGAATGGGGCCGGCTCGATCCATTCACCGCTCCTTAGTCACGCTCCTGTGAATTCCGAGGTTCCCCCTAGGCTGAACTCCCAAAAGTGCATCGCTTGTGTTCTCTGGGTTTTTTTCTCCCCCCCCCCCCCGCCCCCCCAGATCTGAAGGACTTTCTCTCTGCACACGTCACTGGCCTGAGGGCATCTTTCCTGCTGAGCTTGCTGCTGCTGCTGCTTTGCTACTTTGTGCAATGACACCCTTGAGGGGACACAGACTCCCTCCTGGTGAGGCTAGTATCAGCCCTTGGCCACACAGGAGCCTCCCTCTGCTCGTTTGCAAACAGTACTTCTGACGCCTTGAACGAATGCTTTCAGTGCATAGTAAACAGGCACACCCAAGTCCCCTTTCATTCCTCCCTGGGAATTGAGGTCTGTGGGTGGAGACATGCATATTGCTGCCCCCTCTTCCTGGGTCTGCTCTCGAGATTTTCCAGCAGATTCCAGTGGGTCTGACCAGCCTTGAGGGGATGTGGCCACGTGCCACATGTCAGCCCCTCTCTGCACAACCTGGTCTCCCAGTCCTTGGAAGAAAGTCTCTGGAGGTTGCAGTGTCCCATATCGTTTGTCTAGTTGCTGGTCTCCGAATCCTTGGGGGTAGGAGGACAGGGCCCTAGGTGTGAAAGAGAAAGAGCACCTGGAAGACTGGGACCTGGAGGGTGAGCAGGAGAGGGACCACAACTGGAACAGATGTTCTGGAATCTTCCTTTGCCCCATGGTCATCATCTTCCTGGTGCTTATGGCATCACTGCCCAAGCAAGAGTGTGTAGGAGTTTGGGGCTTTGGTTCAGTAAGTGAAGCCTCCACTTGCAATGTTCCCCATCCTGTATCAGAGCACTGGTTCAAGTCCCTTTGCTTTCTTTTTTTTTTTTTTTTTTAAATCAGAAAATCATATATACAGAAAGGAGGAGAGACAGAGGAACACATGAACTGGCGCCAGCCAGTATGGGATCCTAGCACATGCAAGGGGAGGACTTGAGCCATTAGGCTGCTGCGCTGGGCCCAAGTTCCTTTGCTTCTAAGACAGCTTCCTGCTAATGTGCCAGAGAAAGCAGTGGATGATGGTGCAAAAGCTTGGGCCCCTACCACCTGTGTGGGAGAGTCAGATGGAATTCCTGGCTCTTGGCTGCATCCTGGCCCAGGCTTGACTTGCAGTCATTTGTGGAGTGAGTCCGCAGATGGAAAATCTGTCTCTCATGGCTGACTGTCACTGTTTCAAGTAAGTAAATAAATATTCCCAGACTTTTGGATTCCTTCTGCACTTAAGATTCATTCATCCCTCTGGGAACCCTCACACTGCATCCCACTGCTGGTTCACTGCCCAAATGACCTAAACAGCTAGGGTTGGGCCAAGCTGAAGCCAGGAGCCTGGAACTCCATCAAGGTTTCCCACGTGGATGGCAGGGGTCCACATACTTAATCTATATTTCACTACCTTTCCGGTCACAGTAGCAGGGAACTGAATCAGAAGCAGAGACGGTTGGGACTGCAGTATGGGATCTTAGATCACAAGCCGTGATTTAACCTACTGTGCCACGATGCTGGTCCCTCTCTTCTCTCACCTTCTACCCCTTTAAAAAAAAAGATTTGAAAAACAGAATTACAAAGAGGTAGAAAGAGCTTCCACTCCTGGGTTGCTTTCCAAGATTACCACAGTGATCCGGGTTGGGCCAGGTCAAAAGCAGGAACCATGAACATCATTTGCATCTCCCATGTGGTTGCTGGGACCCAAGCACTTGGGCTAGCCTATGCTGCTTTCCCGGGTGCATTAGTGGGGAGCTGAATTGGAAGTGGAGTGCCCATTTGGGATGCTGGTGCTACAGGCAATAGGCTAACCTGTTGAGCCACAGTGCTGGGCCCCTCAGCAGATCCTTTAAACCCATTAACTACAGACATCCATCTTGGTTGATGTCATATCTTGGCTGCTATGACTGGTGCTTCCCAAAACAGAGTGCTGATTGCTCATCAACATGCCAATTTCATTTCCTTAACATCTACCAAGAAGTTGTTGGATCATAGGATAATGGTACTTTGTGAGAAGATCCTGTCCTGCTGCTTGTTGTTCGTGTTAACAGCCATTGTCCTTGTGGTTTGTGCTTTGGATTCCATTCCCTAGCTGATAATGAGACTGAGCTCCCCTGTTCCCACTCCCAACCCCAAGCCTGTGCATCTGTTGCCCATTTGTATACCTTGTATTGAGAAATTTCTATGCACTTCGTTTGCTCTTTTTTTCCCCCATCTTGCATTGGGCTGTTTGTGGTGTGCTTTTATGAATTTTTGCTGTTGTGTTGAATTGCCTAGGCTTGGGACATCCCCAGCACTCACAAATAAACATTTTATCCTTGCATCTCTGAGTCCCTGGCAGATGCAGGGTGGGTTGGGGTGGAAAAAGGGGCTGTCTCAGTGGGGGTGTGATATTCCTGCCTCTGGGAGCAGCCCAGGGGAGCCCATCTGCAGAACAACCAGAAGTCACAGAATGAATGGCAGGTGTAAGGGGTCACAATGATATGTTCTCCCCTCCTTCTGTGCATGGGGCTGTCTGTTCCCTGCAGCATTCTTACCAGGTAGCTGTGAATTGACTCCTATTTCACAGAGAAGGAAAGAACACAAAGAGAAGGGTGGGGCTAATCACAGCATGCTCACCTGAGGCTGAGCCCTTCACTGTGCCAGCACATCTCACCCCTCCCCGTATCCTCACCACCATCTGTGTCACACACCAAGCTGGATGTCCCAGTGCCTGGGAGCCTGACCTTCAGTGTTTTGCTTTGATCTCGGGTCTTTTCTTAGCTTCTAGGAGAACTTGGTCTGCCAGGGTCCTACTGCCAAGTGGGATGGAAGCTGCTGCTCTCCCCCACAGGGACCCACGTGCAGCTCAGTGTGTGTGGCTGCTTCAGAGTGCTTCACAAGAATCTCAGAGTAGAATGATGGGTCTCCCCTCTACTCTCTCTCTCTCTCTCTCACACACACACACAAACACATGGTCACCTTGGCTCTCTCTCTCTTACACACATACACACACCAGAGGTTGCCTTGGCTGGGTCCACCTTACATACTCAGAGAGGGGAGTCCAGCATGGCCAGCGCCCACCTGCCTGGCCCCAATTGCTCAGCCCCAGCTGCTCCCAGGATGGCCAGGCTCACAGCCTCACAGTCCTGGTTCCTCTTGTCCTTTTCCTTCTCTGGGGGCTGACCAGAACTTGTTCCCGTGTGTGGGATGCTCATTGTCCTCCTGCTGGGAGCCAGTCAGGCAGGTGTGGGCACCCTTCTGGAGAGGCCAGTGACTGCCCAACGTAGGCTGGGGCTGCACCCTGGGGCTGCAGCCCAGCCCTGAGATGTGGAAGTCCAAGGACACATGAGTCCATGCATGCAGGTATCCATCCATGAGTTGCATTCTACGCTGTGGCTCTTCTCAGACTGTCCAGCCTGCCACCCCTGTGGAGGACCATGTTTGTGCCATCATCACCCATGGCAGGTACAGAACCAGGGACCTGAGATATGGGTAGCCTGTGCACCTGCAAGGAAACACAGGGTGCAAGATGGCATACTGCCACCTGGGCACTACAGCATGGCCAGCTCCAGTTCCAGCTCAGCTTGGGACATGGTGCAGAGCCAAGGCAGAGAGCAGCACATGCCAGGGACTTGGGGGCTGTGACATGGAAGCTTCTTGAGTAAGTTTACTTCTTATGGACAGGAAGACCCAGAGATGGAGCCGGATGTGCAGGCACAGGGATCAGGGCAGAGGCTTCTGGAGAGGTGGGGCCAGCCTGTCACTGGCTCTGGAGGAGAATCGGCAGCAGCAGAGTGGCAGATGACAGCAGCACCAGGAAGACCCTGGGCCTGTGCATTACACCCGCATCCTCCTCCAAAGGGTCAGGGGTAGTGGTCATGATGACAGTGGTTCTTGGCTTCCTAGGAGGGCGAGGGCGTTTTGTGGTTGTGCGGGTTGTAGTTCGCCTGGTGGAGGGTGGGATCCATCGCTGCTTTTCTTCTATCCATCTGTGATAGGTTTGGATGTTGATGAAGACACTGGGTTTGAGGGGAGGGTGGCAGCGCCCGCCCCAGCTGGCTATACCAATCGCATAAAACCGATGGTCTATGAAACAGTTCAATGGGCTGCCTGTGTCTCCCTGGGGAGAGAGAGAGAGATGGTGAACAGTGTTAATAAGGATGGGAATGGGAGTGAGTGGAGGGTGGGAAGGGCTCTTCTCTTGCTTTGTATGTGTGACAGAACAACGAGGCACTCAGGCATGTCCTTTGTCTATGTGAGTGAATGTCAGCAACACCGGGGGAAATGCTCAGAGATCACATGTGCAGGGACCACAAGAAGAAACAGAGAGAACCTGGTCCCACAGCCTTGGTCCACAGACTGCTGGAACCTGTGAGAAAACACAGGGCAGCTGTCCTCCAAGTCTCCACCCAAGAGAAAGAAGACACAGCCTGGCGTACCATGCCATCGGTGATCAGCTGGGACGTGCAGCTCACGGATTAGTCCTCAGCTCAGTGTTGTCCCCAACCTGTGTCTTTGCTGCTGACATCATAAGGTCTCTAGTGTCTCCTCAACCTCCTCACTGAGCTTCTTTAGATTCTGCCCCGGGCTGGTAGATGTCTTGAGATGTGGGTCCCCAGATGTGGCTGGGCAGGAGGCGGGAGGTGTTCACCACTACTACCATGGAAGACCCCATCTCAAGATGATAATGGGACACAAGAAAGCCCAGCATGACAGCCCTGCTCTGAGTTGTACCAGCAGGCAGTGAACTCCCAGTGGACCAAAAGAAAAAAAGTGGACTGATGGTGTGAGTTCAAATTGGCACCACCAACGTGAAGGACTGCCTGGATGAGTGGAACTGCACAGCCAGCGTCATGATGACGGCAATGGGAATGACTGTGCTCTAGCATCCCCATCCATACCCACATGGGATGCTTGGGACTGCGCTACTGCAGTGAGCTCAGATGGCAATGCTCCAGCACCAACAGCCCTGTGTGTTCACATGATGGAGTATGATGCAGCCTTGGAGAGGCACAGCAGCAGGCACACTGTGGGACTGGTACAGAAGCCAGGCAGATCCTGCATCCTGTGTGTTGGCATTCAGTGTGGACACTCAGAAGTCTGGCAGGGCTCTTTGGGGGGTGACTGAGAAGAACTGGATTTTTGCGGGGCCCATTGGTTACTTGCTTCATCAGGGTGTTGAACCTTTTTGTAGAAGGATTGGAAGCTCTGCCCTACCTTAACAGTCCTGTGTAAAGACACAAGATGCTAATGGCATGGAGCAGAATGTTGTAATGCCATTGGTGATAGTAGCCTCACTCTGGGCTGGGCTGGGCTGGGCTGGGTAGGAGGAAGTTGGGGCTTGAACTATGAACAGAGGCCACACACACACGGCACAGAGGG